AAATTATTTATAAAAAATTATATAGTGTCCGAGATCGCGTAAATGTACCAGCAGCTGGGGTGCGTTAGCCGCAGTTTGAGAGTTCTGATGGTTTGAAAATATTTTTGACATTCAATTATGATCAAGGAATGAACATCCGAAAAGTTCTGTGCCATAGCTGTAATAATTTATTAATAAAAAATTATACAGTGACCCAAGCCGCGTAACTGTAACAACAGGTGGGGTGTGCCAGCGGCACTTTGACAGTTCTGTCGGTTTAAAAATATTTTCAACGTTCACTTGTGATGAAGGAATGAATAGTCAAAGAGCTCTTTGCGATTGCGGTAAAAACAATTGCGACAGAACTCTCAAAGCGCACCCTACCTGCTCGTAGATGTACGCGACTTCGAATATTATACAATTTTTTATAAATAAATTATTACTGCTGTCGCGCAGAACTCTTTGGACATTCGTTTTCTGATCATAAGTGAACGTTAAAAATATTTTTAAACCAATGGAACTCTCAAAGTGCGGCTGGCGCACCCCTCCTGCTGCTAAAGTTACGCGACCTCGAACACTTTATAATTTTTTATGAAGAAATTATTTCTGCTATCGCATAAAACTCTTTATATTTTCATTCCCTGATTACAAGTGAATGTTGAAAATATTTTCAAATATGCAGAACTCGCGAAATAGTGTTAATCTCTCTTATTTTGTTGTCGGTATTTCACATTTTGTGAATTAGGTCTTCGCAAATCGACTTTTCGCTTTTAATTAGTAGAACTATTGTTATATATGATATAGAACTCTAGAACTATTGTAAAACAAACCGGAACTCTAAAGAAATAGTTGATTTTACTGATTAGGTGCGCTGCGTGAACTTAGCGCATCTTTTTTTAAAAGTCTATTTTTTTGTATTTAATGACCGGAACTATTTAAAATTGTTGCATAGAGCTCTAGAACTTTTCAAGAGAGTATCAGAACTCTAAAAAAAATGTCACATTTTTAAATATGGTGTGCCAAGTTCACACAAGTTAAAATTAGCATGTATTACTTTGGTAAAAATTATTTGCAAAGGTTTCTCGGAATATTTTTATTTTTGTTTAAAACTCATCAAAGCTAGAACTTACTAAAAATAAAAATAGCAATTTATTTTTCAGGAAAAAGTTATGTAGACTAAAGGAATAAAGAAAGTTTCAATAACTCTTAGAAATCTGTTTGAATGTCTTCAAAAAGAGAAAAATTAAAAGAGGTGACTAGTGACTTTGCCATTCCAAAAGTAGCGCAAATACGTTATCACGCAGAGGGTTAAACTATATAGGGATTGCATATAGTTCCTGATATATATCATTTCGAAATATCGCAATTTTATGCACAATTAAACACCCAGTTTTTGTTGTGCTATCATTGTAAATATCACCCGCTATTCCCCATTGTTTACAATTTTTATTTAGGTGCTTCAGTCCTATCAAATACGTTTAATGTTTGTACACAACTAATGCTTGATTTGAGTTATCCTGTGTTTACATGATTGATTACAGACAGAATTTCATTTTTTATAACGTATCATGAAATCAAAAAAATCTGAAAAGCATAAACTTTATATAATTACCCTGTTAATTTAATAAAATGTGCTAATTAATTATATCTAATATTCAAGGAAAGAGTTATATATTAAAAGAGAATTATATTAATTATATTTAATATTCAGCAAAACTGAAAAATAAAAATATCTATACGATTCAACTCGCACTTGGCACAGAGAATTCTTCTCGCACGCCAGGTATAATGATGTAACTCGTTTGGCAGTCAATGCGTCAATTAATCAACTTCTGCAAACGAGGCGTCAATCGTTTAATCCTCTACACGACACGAAAAATTATATCTTATTGTGATCATCGCGCTTGCACTGTCACGAATAAACAGCGATCAGCTTCTATCCGCAACGTCGGGGACCAACTTCGACGAGACCGATCGCGCCGATTTCCTCGACGTCGATGTTGATTATCGGCGACAATACGCGTCTCGACAATGCGATTCATAGCGACATAACGATCTCGTAAATATCTCGCACGTCCACACGCATACACACACAATGCATTGAATACAACTGTGTACATAACCGACCAAAAGCGCGAGGGTGAACCGGATGGGGCGAGACGGAGCCTACCCTGACGATCAGAGCGGAAAACGGTGACTCGACCTATCGAACGAGCTGTACGTGGACGTCGGAATCGCCACCTTAACGCGCGTTCGACACTTGCACAACACACTCGCGCGAAAATAGCACGACGAGCTGAGCTGACACGAGCGGGAATCGGAGAAGAAAGGGAGACCGAGGCGGCCAGAAGAGGAAACGCGATCAGGGGAGGAAGGCGCTCGGGGAAGAAAGAAGAGAGAGAGAGAAAGAGAGAGAGAGAGAATATGTGTGTGTATATTCGTATATGAGTATATGCACTGACCTGCCCGGTTCTCTCTCTTTCTCATTATTTCTCTTTTTCTTTCTCTTTTTTCCGCGCCACCCTTAACTGACGATTTTAGCGCGTAAAAGGAAACGATGGGCTTACGTGCGTGAGATGATCGTTCTCTCCGTCTGCTGAGAACGAGAGCGTGACGATCCTCTTCGCCGGCTTGCGGACGTCGTTGTCGTCGCCGTCGTCGTCAACGTCGGTCGGTCGGTCGCTCTCGCCACTTCGGCCACCTAGGAATCCCCGAATAAATCGCCCGAGCCAGTGAGGAAGCCAGCCGACGGCTATCTCGAGACTGCTACCAATGCCAGCGACAAGACGTCCCGATGCCCGAGCGCCACTTCTTCGTCTTCTTCTCTTCTCTGCCTTCTCTGCGAAGCTTCCTCTATGCGGCCTCGCGGTCGCCGTCCTCGACGACGTCCTCGACAAACGTCGGTGCTACATCGAAAGTCACGCTTGCGATTACTTATTCTTATTTACGACACTTGTCTTAATCGTGACAACACCGTGCCGTCTCGATGTCCTGCGCGACCATGTCGTCCTCTCCGGCTCTTCATAGCCATCGCCCGATTAGGTGTCTTCTGTCTTGTCATTCGTAGTCGGCCAACTAAACAGAAAGTACGTGTGTCAAAATATACATGCGTGCGAATGTTTACATGTCAGAGTGACGTCCAATGTTTTGTTATGTCCCAACAATCGTCTGTATCCTACACAGTGTTTACCTACACATCATTCTGACTTGATTTCACCACGAGACTGAATCAGAAATTTGTCTCATTAACTTTTTAAGCGCCAGACTTATTTCAAATTTCAGATTATAGATTCTAAATTTCAAATTTACTTAAGAAACTTCAAAAAGTGACAGTTAGGCATGAGGGATTGGTGCAATTGTTGATACTTCGCTATACTCAAATATGTTTCACTCTTTAACATGATAAAAGTCCAATATTTCAATAAAATAATGTTCAGAAATAAAGACAATAGCAGTTTCACTTTTTCTGCGAGTTTATCTGTCAACTTGGCGAACGTGGTGCTTAAAGGGTTTAACTATTTTGTGGTCTTTCAATTAGCTTTCAGATTTAATTAGATCTAATCTCTCGGATAATTTATTCATTTTTCACACAGACCTGACTACGCGCTATAAAACACCTACTAACTCTCGCGACCTGTTGCTTTTATATTTCACATCCGCGTGAGTTGGGGCGCGTTTATTGCGGAAGCGTTGTTGTAGAACGTAGGTGCTGATTCGGTCGATCGACTGCGCGTTTCGGCCGTTTCTAATAATAATCGATGCCTACGCCTGTCCAGGGGTTTCTCTGCGTATCCAAATCGATACCGTGCGGACTGCCGGAGCAAGCTGCAGCGTTGTGCTGGCTACAATCTCTCCGCTACTGATCACCTGTGACGTCTCGTTACGCGCTGACACCTAGAGATCGCGGGCGACGCCGGTGGGATCTATTTGCGTATCAAGTCTGATACAATGCAGCAATGCCGCGCGTTACCAGCTTAATATCACGTAAAAGCTCGATTGTCCAGGAAAGGTCATCAGGCGACTGCAAGACAACGAATAGCGATCCGATGATTGAATCAAGTCCGCGTTGTAAGATTGAAAATATCAAAAACTATCAAAAATATCAAAAAAATATCATAAACGGCAGTTTATAATAAACTGTTAAGTAATTTATTCTATTTGAGAAATTTCATAATAATGATATTCATAGTATCAATTAAGACTGTATATATTATCCATATCTAAAAGTTGGAGATTAACCTGCATTTCATCTAAAAATGACCACAAGAATTTGACATTGATTCAGAGTCTGGATCAAGAGTTATTCTAGTTACTCTAGTTTGAAGCATAAGCCCAGTAAACATGACAACGTCGAATAGCTACAACGAAACTTTGTACATACGTCATTTTAAATGCCTAAGGGTCTGCAGGAGCCAAAAGCAAATCCTGATTTGACTACGGAAACCTCATGCGGTAAGAGCGCGAAACACCGTTCTGCATGCGTAGTTGTATGTCTGTACACGTGCGAATACTAATGTACCGCTTGCGCGAACGCAACAGCTGCAAGCTAGTGCAGCTACGCTAGTATCTGCAACTTGGTGTATTTCGCATCGCAGTGCGACAGTATATTTGCTTATCAAACATTTTTTGGCATCCTCGTTGCATAAGGCTGCTACACAGCCATTTTACATTTAGATTCTTGAAAACTTTTAATAAACAAAAATATATAAGTTCGTTCTACATTGAGCGCCGAATGTTCGCACATGCGTAGAATAAGTCCTAGAATAGGTGCGCATGTGCGAGAAAGTGACCTTGTTAATAACACTAGGTTAAGATCCTCGAAGGACGACTTTTGGAAGTTGGAAAATTATTTTAAAGATTTTGACAAAGAGAGTTACTGAGGGAACAGAGGAACGTTCATCTAAAGTATGGTCCAGCCGTCGTTTTTTGTGTGTAAAATTTTATTTTACTTTATTTTATCCTAATTTTTTATATGATTATCAATAAAAAGAAGTCAGTAGTTATTACATATAGTGGCAAAAAACATACACAAAATTATTATAACGCAATATATATATATCGCTTAGTATAACTTCCTTATACTGTTTCATTTTTAGAGAGAAAAAGAGAGAGAGAGAAAATAGAAATTTAAACAATATTATATTTTAACAATTTTAGATTTATGTTTTATAACCTGCGTGTAAAATATTTCATATAAGAACATTATCTTTTATAGATAATAACGAGAAATATCATAATAGTTAACAAATTCGCTACTAAGAGAAATCATAACTTAATATCGAGGTTGTGTTTTCCGTGGAAACAAAGAAAAGAAATTAATCAAAAAGAAACTATTTGTTTGGTCATTTGTTTGGTCAACATTATTTCTGGTAATTTTTGACACTCATAATACCGTCGATTATAATTTTCGAGGATGTCACCGAGAATTATTGGAATCGCTTTGGGTGGAAACAAAATGGAAGAGAAACAAAGAAAGGAGCTAGACTCGCGAACGCCCATCTCGAGTGTCTCGATTTACGCGAGCATCTTCAAACGAAGAGATCCGCGACAAAACGAGATCGACGAAAGGAGAAAGCATCGTTCTCGCGTCTCGACTTATATTGGTCTACTGAGTTCATCGATGTGGTTACGGGAAACGGTCAGGATCACGCGGTCTCTCTCGCCCCCGTCGATGAAGCGCCAAAACGTGCGCTTCAGAGAGGAGGTTATTACGATCGAGACGTAAATCCACGAAACGTCGAGGACTTGAGGTGAGAGGTGAGGTCTTCTCGTGAGAAGCAATAGATGCTGTAAATGATACCGAGGAGTACAGGCAGAAATTACAGGTACTCTTGGAACCGTGCAATCCTTGGCAAGTGTTCGTCATACACAGAGAGAATGTTACAGCTTCTTTCATGAAATTTTTCTTTCTTATTTATTTTTCATAAGTTGTTTTTTTATTAATTTTATCAATTTCCTTTTACAAATTCTTTCCAACTCTTTACTCGTTTTTAGCAATGCAGAAATAAACTGTTGATACAGTTTATTTTGCTAAGAAACATTAGCAATTTTTCAATAATAGACTTTAGCTTCTTAAACATAAATAATAGCATACATATAAAACGGAAGAGTAATTAAATTAATAATAACAGCAACAATAATCATTTGTATTGAAAGAAAAAATCATTTAGTGTTGCGTGATAAAATAAGGCCGAGAAATGTAGAAATAAGACGAAAATGAAAACTCAAAGTTTAGTGTCGACATGTTTTTCGATTACAAATTTCTGTAGTAACTTTTATCATAAGATTCTCTCTGTGAAATTGATTCTGTAAAGGCCCATATTATACACACGCGAAAATTCTTCCCTCCCTGTTTGCTGAAACAGGCTCGTCATGATTATGCCGTTACTAGTGAGGGTGATTTTCGATAACGCGCGCGCCGAGCAATCAGTCTTCCCGCTTGCGAAGGATCCTTTCGGCGTGCAGGATGTTAACGTTTGCGAAAAGGGTAAAATAGCTGACGTCGATAGAGCGATTGCAAAGAGATCAAGAGCATCAGAGGAACGCGGCCCCGATGAAGAGCGCGGCGAGGACAGTGTCAATCTGAAAGCTGCGCCCGATGAATTCGAACAAAGGCAAACTCGGCTTCTGGCGAAGAAATTGGCGAGTGAGGTTCTCAAGTCGCCACAACTACAGAGCAGTATGAAGAAGCTGACTGACTTGAGCGAGCCTCGCCGTAACCATTCCATCACGATGAAGAACTTTCCAACGACTAGTCGGACGGGAAATGCATTTAAGTTGCCGCGGGTGAACTCGAAAAAATCGAACAAAACGCCGAAACGCGAAAAAGCGCAGAAGAAAGAGAAAAGCAAACGTAGACGTGGATTGAAACGGCACAAGGAGCGCTATCCTCGGTTACGTAAAAGGAATCGCGTCAAGGTAGGTAAGATAGATCCATTTATCTGATGCAAACCTGTGTGATAATTATAATAAACAATTTGCGAAATAATTACAAGACAATGAAGTGTAAACTTTTAATTTGTAGATATTTCCAATTATATCTTTATAATTTGGACGTTTGGAAGTTTATAAAATTTCTTTTGTAGCTTTTCTTTACCATATGATATCTATTTCTGTGGCTCTAACAATCAACTAATAAGATTTGTAGTTATCTCGCAAATTGTTTCTTATAATTATCACGCAGGTTTACATCAGATAAATGGATTTATCTTAGATAGTTTAATTTTTTTTTAATTTTTATTATGAAACAATTTGCGAGATAACTACAAATCCTATAAATTGATTGTTAGGGTGACAAAAGTAGATATCATATAGTAAAGCGCTACAAAAGAAATTTTATAAACTTTAAAATGTCTAAATTATAAAGATACAATTGGAAATATCTACAAATTAAAAGTTTACACTTCATTGTCTTGAAATGCTTTTGTAAATAATATCCAAGATCGGCTTAGAACGCCTGAAGAATATTTATTTATTTAAACGAAAATATGTTCCTTTAATAAATAAAAAAATAAAGTTCAGAAAAAAGAGAGAGTCATAATTTAATTAACACGAGTAATCGTTACGTTTAGAAAGAACGACTGAGACTAAGTCCACTCGGTGATCACGTTCGTGTGAAACAATCAAATATCGCAGGAAGGTCGAGTTCGATGATGAGAAGTAATATCGCTGAACGAAGCTTCTTAGCCGACAGTGATATTCGCAGATTATCGAGAAACCGCATTGCGAGTTCAACGCGTTTGCAACGACGGCACCGGAAAATCAGTGATACGCCAATATCAACGAGGAGCACGATAGAAAGCTCGACGAGAGCAAGCACGAAGGATCTCGGGAAGAAACAATCCGGCGATTGGGAGGTCGAATACCCCGATTGCTACAGCGAGAATCACGATGAGCCGATGAAAGCGCGGAGAACGGGACAAGACGAAACCGGCAATGAGAGGATCATCAGACAAATCTCGAATGGTTCAGTCCTCGGCGACAATCCGCTCACGGATAGCTCACGATTCATGCAACTATTCGCGAACGAAAACCCCCACGCCAAGGATCTAAACGACATCGAGTCGTTGAAGTCCTGGGAGAACGAACGTCCAGCAATAGCTCGATCAGACGATGATAACGTTATCAGTTACACGTCCACGTACTTGCCGGCGCTCGCCGATCAGAAGATCAACCCTGGAAGTCTATATTACATTCCTGACGTCCCTCAAGAGGATCTAGTATCCGACCATCTTCAGGAAACTATCGACCAGCCCGAGAAGAGCGTACCCGTGGACGTGGCGGGATCTCCCAACGAGAACCCGATCGATTCCTACGCGGATCTGACACAGCTTTTCACTACTGACAAGAACAGTATTCTCGACACGCAACTCGAAGCCGAGCAAGCTCCCAACGAATTGGGTTTGAATGTACCTCAGTTGTACGTGAATCTGAGTGATAAACCTGAGTCTCTGGTCAAACCTGAAGAAGTGAAGGTACTCTATCCCGTTGAGTCTCACATCAAGACCCTGGCAGGATCTTCGACGATTACACCGCACTTCTTCCGCAAAGTTCCGGGTGCTTTGAATCTGTATGTCCCTGATGAGAGGAATGGTGGGCCTGTGATCGTGCCAGCGTCCGAATATGTTTACCCTGTTGTATCCATGAGCCAACCTATACGCAAAGTCAACGAACACGCCTCGGTGATCTCTCAGTCGGTTCTCGATCGACCGATTGAACATATTCTGCTTCCCGATCAAGAGAAAGTATCGAATCCTTATGAAAGTGACATGATTGACGATTACAGCACGGGCGATCAAATGGTTGGGAAAGATCATAATGTAGAGAAGGAGGCTGCGCGCATTCTTCATGAGCAACATGAAAGCAATGCAAAAGAAAGACCCGCGAGTGGCAAGGTGACGCATAATGATCGTTCGTCCACGACTACAAAGATGACCACGACGGAAAGCGCGGACGGCCAACGCGCGAATGTCTCCGTGATGTTGAATGAGACCAAGGAAGTCGCCAATCAGATACTCGAGAAAATCATGGACGAATTGGAAGAGATTAGATCGGATCGACCAGAGAACGAACAAATAGAAGGCAATTATTTAGAGTTTCCAGTCTTTGAAACCTCTCAGATAGATTTAGTGTAAATTTCGAGATTCGATACAAGACTTGATTAACAAAATATGTCTTTTTATCGAAGACAATATTAAAAGCATGAAGAATAATGTAAAAAATAATTTTAACATATATCTATAAATATGAACACTTCTTTGCCAGAAAAATAAGTTTGTTCAAAAAAATAAGTTTCTTCAAAATTTGTTGAAAAAAGAATGAATTCAAACTTTTCTATTTTCTAGAGAAAATTTTCTACTTCTGCTTCTATACTAAAAAAATCTGAAGAATAAAAAATATTTACTCGATGAGTGCTAATAACATATTTACTTAAATTCTTTTCTTTAAATATAATAAACAATTGCTTTCGTAAAAAGCAGCGAGTTTAAGAAAATACATATTTCCTAATTCAAAATAAATTTTTTCTCAATGTAAAAATATGTATATTGCTAAGTATGTTATTAGCACCCATCGAATGAATTCCTTATTTTACTTAAAAAAAAACATGATGTATTAACAAAATATCGGGCAATGAATTGAATTTTCATTCTGGACAGGTTTACCTTGCAAGATATCAGGATCGTGGGTGACAACGCAGGGTGGAGTGCGGATTGACATGAAGGTGACTAATCGCACCATCAACGCGACGCTGGCGAAGCTGTCACCGCCGCCCACGCATCAAGGTCTACTAGATCCGACATGGAATCTGACCGGATACGCGCCCTTTGCACCGGGTGCGCCGTTTTCCTTGGTCGCCATCGACAATCGCACGAAGTCGCTGGCGGTGTTCGCAGGTGCGACTTACCGTGGTCGAGTAGTAATTTAGCGCGTCCTCCTCGGCGAGCATCTGATCGCGAGGAACTAATCGCAACTTTTTAAAAAAAGGATCTACAACGATTATACGTAGGTGCGTGCCGAGTGTGCCAAGGTATCGACACGATAGCGGGAGTTTGGTCGATCGCCCACAGCCCGCAAGATTGCCGGGACTTTCAGATAGCCACGAGCATTTACAATGACGTGTTTCGCCGGACCAGACTGTCGTCGGCGATAAACGCCAAGCACCGGGAAATCGTGCGATTGTTACGCGGTCGGGACAACACGACGACGGCCGCGAGTTTAACGAGCAGTACGGTAGCACAACAAAATAATACGTCACATCAAAATAATAGCTTATCGCCGAGCAAGGAGGAAAAGGGAAAGACTTAGATGTTTCGAGGCGAACTTAAAGAGTCGGTGTATATAGACGGATTCGAATCACGATTCGAGTCGAAACACAGAATAGAAACATAATAATGATGATGAGGATGTTGACCGACAGACGGGTCGGAAAATTTGGAAATGAACGTCGCCACGTAGCTAAAAACACACAAAGAAGTGTCTTATATTGTACCAGTAATAATTCTATGTGTAGACAAGCGCTCCGTGTGCTTTAATTATCTTGTTCCGAGATGTAATTTATTGGATCGGAAGATGTACACACTATATGCAGACGGTTTTAAATAAATCCGATATCACCTGAAGGACTTTGAGGGACTTAAAAAAAAGTTGGATTTTTCCATTTACTCCAAAACATACAGATGCTGCTGTATAAAGTCTCACATCACTTTGTCACGTTCTATCTTAAACTATTCGTCTTAATATCCATTAAGCACTGTTTAATCGCGTCGAAACCCAACACGATAATCTAGAATAAGCTGCAATTAGTAATCGGTATTGCCTATTTACAATACAACTTGTACTTTCGTTACCTTCAGAATACCGATTTTTCTGTGTTCATCGTCCTTGATAAGCAGCGATATATCTTTGCAGCCGTCGCCAAGCGCGTATTCTCTCACATTGAATGTCGCAAAACTGGAACAAATTATTTGTCACAAAAAAAGGAATGAGTACGAGTGTTAATTTTCGTGTATAGATTCGTGTAAACAAATACTCCTATTTACCCGATATCCACGCATTCCTTAATCGACGTCTCCTCGGGTAACGGTTCGCTGACAACAACAAATTTAATGTTTGGGCTTATATATTCGGTCAACATAGCACACAAAGTATTTCTCTCGACGATGTGCCTTTTCTCATCTATCTGGAATTCTAAAATCGAAACGTTGATCTCGTGCAACTTTTTCAAGAATATATTTCTAAATTGTTTAAATATATATATATATATATATATATATATATATATATATATATATATATATATATTGTATGTGTAGCAAAACATCCGTATCTTGCGTATAAATTTACTTTTTCGAAAATTGAAGACAATCTCTTGATTGGCTACTCGCGGCTTTTCCATGGAAACTGTCTCCATATCCTCGCCGTAATGTCCAAGGAAGGAATATTCTACGAAAATCAAACGTATCTCGTCGTCTTGTATGACGGGGCTGTCATCAAAAAACAGCACGCTCACTATTTCTATGATTATCATATTCTTCTCAAATTTCTGGAAAGGATAAATGTTGTATTAGAATCACGTTAACTCGCCATATTTGCACAACATCACGTATACTTAAATATTCAGAGATTCACTTTCCATTTTTAATAATTTATTTCCATTAGAAATGTGCTATACAATGTACGATTTCGATATTTTATTCGCTTTCGAAATGGTGATCTCGCATTGCTATTTGCGAACGCTACTTTATTTCGCGATCCTCAACGTTACATATTTTTATGTTTATTTAATTGTTAATACTGCTTTAAACAATGAAAAAATATAATTCAGAAAAAAAAACGAAAAACAACAAAAATAAAATAAAATCACATAAAAAGTTAAACATAATAAAAGTTCTTCAATTCCAAATTAAACGCTTTTCAACCGCGATTTTAGGATTTAGGAGCTCGATATTCTTCCCGAGAATTTTTTTAATTTTCAATGTGAAATGGCAATAAAAATGCATTCGACGGTATTTGCTTTTTGTAATTTAACTTCACCCTTCCCGTGAAATAACTTAAGCATAAAACGGAGCGGTTTCGTATGCGAATAGAAGTGTCACGTTGATAATCCTGCACATTTAACGGTTTAGCTGAAGTGTTTTCTGGGCAAATAGTTCAGTTACTTTCACACAATTCTCACACTCTGCATCGTCGGCGTATGCGAGTATAATTAATTACTAATTGTACTGGCAAAAGTCAGCAGAGTCCTCTGCTTGTATCTCTCCCAGTTTTTGTCCGAGAGTACCTCGTGCATGTCGCGGATCGCGCTGCTTGATTCCTTGAGCAGGCCCCCGGTCTGTACACGTCCGGAATCTCAATCACTTCCAGATAGACATCGCATTCGCGGATCACTAACGCGTCGAGTCGCGTGCGCTTTTCGCGTAATTGCTTAAATGCTGAACGGATCTTACGTTTGTGATGATACTCTTAAACTCGCTTACGCTCGGCAACTCCTCCAGCGTATGCTCCTTTGATATCTCCTTCCTATCATCTGCCGCTACTTCGGGATCTGGTCTAATTAAAGTCGTTTATACAATTTTCATAATGATTTAAAGAAGATAGAAGATATCGATCGATATCGTTTGCGCGTAAGAACGACGCTGCTAAATGTGGAAGTTCTCCCTCTCTCTCTTTGACTAATAACATTGTCGCATTCCGCGAAGATTACAAATTACGAAGATGGATATCTTTCCGATAAAATAGGAACAGAGGGAAGAACGCAATAAAACTACGGGGAAGTCTCACCTCTTCCTTATCGTATATTTATCATTCTCCTCTTCTAACTCGTTCGTCTCATCGACGGGCGTAGAAGAGAATTCTTCGTTATTGGAAGTGACGTAATTATTCTCGTCATCCGAGTTCGTTGTTTCATATAAAGAATCTGTGATGATTAGATGATGTTAAATACTTCAGCATTTTCAAGACTCAAAGATATTTAAATCCAGTAAACATTGTGTAACAATAACATTTTACGTTAATGTTATAATTTTCCTTAACAATGTAACTGTTATGCACGACATATGAATAGGAAATTATAGCATTAATGTTGTTATGTTTAGGTTTATTGAGAAGAGACCTGCTAAGGCTTGAAAATATCTTAAGGCTTGATAAAAATGCGAGTTCTTATTTTTATTAAAATTCACTCAAGTCTATTGGCGGCCGAAGGTATCGATTGTCCGTTAAAACTGCGGACTCGCTATCCTTCCGATCCTCGGATATTTTCACTTGCGCTGGAAACCGTGCATGAAGAGTATCTTGTGGCGCAGTATCTCGCAATGAAGCTATGCCGCATTGCTCCTTAAAAGCTTCGACCATCTCAACGTCGCAACTCAATCGAACCCAAAGCGATAGTTGGCCAAAGTTGACGCCGTAGGTGCAAGAAATGATGCTGTTCACTGGCACGATATAGTGCAGCTTGTTCTGCGGATAATCTAGGATATCCTTGATGGAGACCCTCGCTCTGGCAATCGTATATCTCGTGTCATCATGACGAACGACGTTCACTCGGAAGGCCAGATACTCCAACAGCACGTTCTTGAAGAAGGAGGAGAGATCCGCGATGCGATACACGGAGGAAAAGTTAAAGTTCATATTCGGGCATCTCATTGCCATCGTGTATGCCGTCTTCTCATCCCAGATATCCCAGCTTATGTAAAGGTAGAGATTACACAGGTCCTCCTCTCCCGAGATTTTTGAGGCCTGATGATCTCAACAAGTATATGACAATACAATCGTTATTTTTGGATAATCAAATCCATGATCAAAAAATTCTACAGAATTCAAAATTTGTATTCAGAATTTAAATTCAAAGTTTAAATTAAGAATTTGAATTCAGAGTTTGAATTCAAAAATTTTAATTTGTCATTATTGCATGTTATTAAAACGTATGGATTGAATAGAAACGATAAATAATTATACAAAATACTATACATAAAATGTCATTGATCGTCTCGCGGTACCAACCGATGTAGAAAGCTGCAGTTGTGACACGTGAATCTCGATGAGACCTTGCTTATCGGAAATTAACAGGGGAAAAGACTCCGCTGAGCCAACAGACAGTTGCACCTTGTCGCCTAGACATTTGCTTTTGCAGGCTGTCCGCTTTTCCCGTTCAGTCGGCGAGTCCTTCTGTTTCCGCAAGTGGCACATCAGATCACATCTAGGCAATAACGAAGTCTTCACCTTTTCCGTCTGATAAACGAAAGCCATCGATGTTATCGCCATGCTAGAGTCCCATGTGTCGCTAATCAGAAAAATTACACTTGCTTACACAGTCGTTATCATCACTGACATCACGGTATGACGATTTTTTCGACTTGCCGTCAATCACAGAACAGCAAGTGACTTTGTCCTGTGTTTCTTTCGTGCATAATTCGATGTTTCTCGTTGAGACGACTACGGGTTCTTGCGGAATGTAACTTGGGTAACAATCGGATTCTAAATTCGCGAGACAGTTCTTGACGTTACTGCAGTTACTGCTCATTCTCGCGCTTTTGTGAATACGTTCGTCGATATCCACGAAGTCTTTAGTGTTGCAAGCTACTGTTTGCTGGTATTTGCAGGGATATGCCTTTCTGTTCGTTCTAAAATCATGATTATTGCTCTTCGTAGCAAAATTATTATTAACATCGATCAGCGTATCCTCGATAGTAAAAACTTGACGTTTCAAAGATGTTCTTTCGTCAACGTTATTCAACGACAGATATTCGTGCAAAACTTCCAATAACATTAGCAGGATTTGGCTCGATGCCATATTCTCCAAGATCGCGAGTCTTCCCTTTTGTGAATCCTTCTGCACGAGATTCGGCTCATCGCAAAGCGTTTGAGAAGGTATTTCTCCGTCGCTGTAATAGATAGTCATGATGATATCATACGCAATGACATTCTGATCCTTTATATAGTATTAATTATGTGTCGTTAAATAATTAAATTTAATCCGTAAAATATAATACGCCGTCAAAGATAACCCTAACGGTATACTATAGCATATATTGTACAAACTGATTACAAAATCGCATACATTTATTTAAATAAATATATAAAATGTCCTATTAAGATACGAAGAAATCGTTTCATATCAGTAATGTTCCTGAAAATTTCATATAAATTTAATCAAGAACATCACGATTATTTGCAATAATTCATGAACACGTAAAGGGTTTTCGATAATACGCAAATTATAGTACTGAAACTTGCATACAACATGTACATATACATACATCTGCATATTAACACGACGCATAAAACTTAATCAATGTTCCCGCTATATGTTCGTATTGTATAGCGATAAATACTATTTTTGCTCACGTACATATAGATATGCTTGAATTTACAAAATATATATTTACTATCCGACAATTCTATTATTCTCCATATCAGAAATTCTTATCCTACAATTTCATAATATTATCTCTAAAAATTAGAGCGTAATAATGTGTTCCCACAATTCAAACACTTCCAATTATTGTTTCATGATAACTCGACTTGTGAGACATTCAGTCTCTTAACGTCAACATTCCAGTTCCCCGAATACTCAACGTGAACTTACGAGATCCTGCTTCTTTCGTAAAAAAAAAAAACTGACAATTCTAAACAGACTATACGTCAACAATTAGAATCACCAAACAATAGCTTCTCAAGAGGTACAACTTGCCTGTGCCTCTGAGTCTGTGCTACGTCCAAAATGTCCGTATACTCTTCCTTCTGAGTGATCATCGATGTGTCTAACGGCGTGCTAATTTGAGCTTGATCCAGCAACTTCAATATTTTCTCCCGTGATAAACTGTTCGTCTCATGATTCGTCTTTCTTTCCTTCACCGGCGACTGCAGCCGCGAATTTATCTTCTCTTCAGTCTGCTGAATTGTCATTACACTCTGCTCCCTCGTGTGGATAGGTGTGGTTATCGTCTGTACTGATTTAACTGACGGCTGCCAACTTCTTCGAGCGCTGTCAACGGCTTTTTCCAGCTGCGTGACTTTGTCGTACATCTCGCAACATTTTTTGCATTGTTCTATAGAAGCGGAATGGGTTTGCTTAGACGTATTCTCTTCTTTCTTACTCACTAGGCTCATAGACGCGTCCGACGGTACCGTTATTGCAACGTCGCGTTTTTCATTTTGCTTATGAAGAGACTGAAAATACAAATGCAAAATTAAAAATCTCTCAAACATGATTTGATCACATTCAAATACATACGGACGTACTAACCGTTAATTGTACCGTCAAGGTATCTATGGTTGCCTGCAAATCCTGAAGTTTCGTAAGTAACTGTTTATTGCTGGCCTGTAACGCTACGATATTGGCCTGGTCGTTGTTGAACGCTGTTCTCAAGGACTGTTGTTCGTGAATGTTCTCAGAAAGTTTTTTTTTTAGTTCAATATTTTCCATCTCAACTTGACCGTATTTAGAGCTGAGGGCGATAAGCTCGTTGTTATGTTGTTGCATTATTTTTATTTCGTTCGTGAGATCCCGTATCTGTTCCTCCTTCTCGCGCAATGCGAGTTGCGAATTCTTTGCTTTCATCATCTGGTCGTCCATCTCGGCTATGCGTGTCCTCTCCGACTTGAGAACAGCGGCAATCTCTTGGTTGTCCCTGATTTCGTGATAAGAACTTCCCGATTAAAAACGTCTAATCTTCAATTTCTTTTTGTTATAATATTTGAATTTTATTTAAATATTTTGAAGATATCTTTCGTTTCTTTATCAAAGAAAGCACGCACATAATATATTACAATTAGAAGATGTAACTTTCATCCCATATAAACAAATTTGTCAGATCTATTAATATATCATATGCTTTAAGAGAGATAAAGAGAGAGATAATGGTTATATACCTCGTGGTTTGCTCGATGGTAGTTTTCAGATCGTTAATTTCGGCAGTCAGCGCGACGTTCTTGTCTTGGGACGTTATTAACTTCTCATTCAGCTGATTCATCTGTCGCCACACTCGTATGTACTCGACGTTGTCCGCTACCTTCTCCCTTTGACTATTGGCCGAGTACAGAGCCAATTCCTTCTCCAAGTCTGTTATACGACATGCCATATCTTTCTTCTGTGTCTCTAACTTCTGCGAACAAAAGTTGGACGCTAAGCGGAAATTATTACGCGTAACATTAATAGCAAATTATTGGACAGAAAAAAATATTATTTTTCTGCTAAGAAAAACGTTTACTCAGTTTACTTTACTTCTTTTAAGTAATGGTTATCTTCAACAAAGAATATTTTCTTAATAATAGTTTTAAAATATACTCATTACAAATTTGTAAAAAGCTCATTATCATGTACTCAAATAAGGAATTTCTTCTCTTTAGAGGAATATTTAGAAGAAAACTCTTCAGAAGAAAACTTTATTAAAGAAAAAATTAAATTTTTATTTTAATTTAATATTTGGGTGATATTAATAATATATTTTTTAGCGATCCTGATATTATGTTATAATTCTTTGATTTACTATAACCTATGTATTAGCTCTTAAAAACTCTTTATTGTTATTTTCTTTATTAATTATTAGTAAAGAGCCTTATAAAGAGTTCATTGATTTAATATTCTCGATTGAAATACTGAACTTATTAAGATTCCGAATATTTTAAGCAAATTTAATATTCATAATAAACTTATATAATAGATTTGCGAATATATGCATTTATGAAATACTTGAAACAAGTAACTTTTACTTCAATGTAGCACCTATTTTTCTGTGTGTATAATCGTTCGAGCGTAATAGCGTAAATCGTAAAAAACGTTGTTAGCCTTTGCTATTTCAAGATATCCGTTATTTCCGTAAACTCGTTTCGTTCTGTACTCATGTAGGATAACATTGATCGCAAAGCTAAATCGAGTGAATGGAATAATTCGCGAAATTGAGGGTGCGCAAGCATCTCGAACTTCAAAGGAGCACGGTCTTACCTCGATCTTAACGAGGTAATTCCGTACATCGCTGTCATCGCGCCCTGCGTCAACGATGCACTGACAAGACGGTGCTCTCGAGCGGTTGTTCTCACTTCGACATGTCCTAAAAGAAGCCGGTTTCATCGTGTATTGTGACACAATGAGTCATGGTATGGATCTGCATGTATGTGTGTATATATCAGTATACGTAGTATCGTGCTTACACGAGCCCGGAAGACGTTGGCCTGACGGGATTACGACTGCGCGATGACGATCTACCGCTCATTGTGTGACTCAACAATTGATTCCTCATCACCGTGATTTTCTCTTTCAGCTGAAACCAAACAGTTTTTTAAATTATTTATCCTGCAAAAAAGAACTATATCAACTTTACGTTGTAGATAGCAGAAAAATCTTAAATATGTCTAAAACTAGAAGGTCTTTTAAATGTTTATAATGTCTGGGATAAATAATGAAAATGAATATTTGTAATTTACAAAGAAAGCTACTTTAAGCTCAAATTGTTGATCGTTTATCATTAATCTTCTATACATGATCTTTACTGTAAATACTACTAAGGAAATGAACATGGTTCTTCCGTCGTCCGACGGAATCCCGTTATCGTCGAGAAAGGAGAAATCACCGTTATTATTAGATAGTCTACCTTAGCGTTTTCGTGCTCGAGCGCGGACATCCTGTTCTTATCATTGCCGGCGACATCTAATGACAATCCATATGATCTTGGATTACCGGCCAATCTAATTAACTTCGTACCGAGCCTCTTGATCTTGTCTTCCTGGCAATTGTTCAATTTCTTCAGACTGCTCGCTTCGTCAAGCAAACGCAGATATTTGTCCTCTAGCTCATAGCGATCGAGCTTGCAAATCAGATGACGTTCCCTGGGATCTTTTGTATTTCAAATATATTATTTATATGTGTACATTCGCATATTGGATATGTATTTAGTTAGAATGGAATAAAAATAACATTTATCCAGTAATCTAAACAACATACAGAGAAAAATATCATTCTATAGCTAAGAAAAATGATTATTCAGTTTCTTTTCCTTCTTTTAAGTAATGGATTCAACAAAGGATATTTTTTTTTATAATGGTTTTAAAATATACTCATCGCAAATTTAAGACAAAATTATTATCATATATTCAACAGAAGTATTTATTTCCTTTACAAAAATATTATAAAATTTTATCAAAAAAAAGTTGGTTCGCGCGCGACTCTATGTAGTAATAAATAAACCGAATTTTTCTTTTCATTTATCTTTTCAATATTCTTGATAAAACAGTTATTAAGATACAGAATATATCTTGAATAAATTTAATGCTTGTAATAAACTTATGGTAGATTTGCGAACTTATAAAATACTTGAAACAAGTAACATTTTCTTGAAGGCCGTATTTTTGTGTGCACAAATGTCTAAAATACGTTTCAGGAAAATCTAAAAGATGTTTAAAACAAGCAGGATATTTTTTAGAAATCTCTAAAGCATCCTTCAGACATTTATACTGCTTAAGTGATACTATTTATCGATTTTGATGTTCTTACAATTAGAACTTCGCCAAGGTACAAACCTATAGCGCTTATCAGTGTGTCCGCATAAGAACCTTCCTTTACAGGTAAAATATCGCGGTCTGGGTCGTCTACCATTTTTAGTTAAAATTCTGACTTCCACTTTCCGTTACAACCAGCAAGTGTCGTGAAACGTCGACTAACGCAGGAACGCTGGAAATTCGACGTATATAGAACTTTTAGACAGACGTGAGGTTATAATTTGACGATAAAAAGAAACAGCGGGAGAGAAAAGCACATCAATTTTCATTGCGTTTATGATACGTCTCTCTCTTAATTCTTATTCTTACCAGAAACGATGATTGTTTTACCGGACATCACATTATGCGTTTATTTACAAGAATAATTACCCACTACACGAGAATATTAAACATATTCGAACAATTTTAATCCTATACTGGCTGTTCGCGAATAGGAGAGTTCGAGCGATCGAGCCTGCTCGATTTCACGCTGACTTCAGACCGCACCGTTCAAAATGACGATTCGTCATAGCGATAAGGTTAAAAATAAGTTTACGTCGCGCTGACTAGAAGTTCATCCGTAGGAGAAACGCGTAACGATACATCTGTGCGTGTGATACTGCAAAAGTAAGGTATGCATGCTGCTCTTGCATCTCGCATGCATTAAACTCAGACAAAAATGCATATTTCCCGCGACAAGTTTTCAAAATAGCGGCATTCGCAGTCAGTTGCAATTCGCAAAGCACCGACAGAAAGCAATAATAATTAAATCGAATGTCGATGTTAATTGTCGACATTAAAAATCGATGCGAAACAATAACGAGTGTAATTCGAGAAGCACACAGTGGCCAGGCACGAACGACAGTGACAATGTTTATCGGTAGTTATCATTCTCGCTGCAGATTCCAGATAAGCGCGATATACCCTCCCCTTCGGATTCTGTGCACTCGCTTGTTTATGAGAGTGAAGGACTTCAAGAGAACAAACAACGTGATTCACTCTCGATCCCCATTCTGTATGAATCATTTCCGTACAGAACTCTCAGGGAATCGTTGAAAAGATATTGGCCACAGAAACGAAGAACAGAATGCATGTTCCTTATCGGGAAATGATGGCTGATCTGTGGAGCTTCCGAGGACAGAAATAATAATAAAATTAATCGACTATTGAATTACTGACTAAACAATAGACTAAAGCCCGTATTAATAGCCATCACTTGAAACTTATCTCACGTGAGATATTTAGATCTAAATTGGGGTTGGATTAGAATTTCTTTTTTACTTGAGTCATATAATATATACGATATTACATTTGTAATCGCGATATAGCTAAAAACTCACATCTATCTCAAATTCCAATCTGAGTCTTATCAAGTTTCGAATAACGACTACTGATATGGATCTTAAGGCCAAAATTGCACTAACGATTGGCGATAGATGATTGACGATTGAAGATTGGAACTTGACCAATTGGAACAAAGCAAGCCAAGGCTGAAGCTTGTTGATTCGTTAAAATTTAATCTTTAATTGTCAATCGTCAATCGCCAATCGCTAGTGTGATTTGGCCTTTAGGCCCGCTTGTACTAATCGAGTGGTAAAGTGATTGATATGCTAAACCGTATGTCTACCTTTGTTTATTTAAAAAAAAAACCAAACCAAACATATGATTTAACTGTTAATTAGCTTACCAACCGGTTGATGCAACCGAGGCTTAAACCCTTACTCTAAATCCATTTTCAGCGATATAAGTGCATTTAAATATGCTTATAAACAAATCAGGAAGCATATAAGTTATATTTACAGACAAAAAGAAAGAAGCACTTTTATGGATAAAAGAGAATTCAAAATAAGGACCCAAGTATGATTTCCAACGCAATGAGAAAAAATATGCCGCAGTCTGACATGAATATCGCGCATATTCGAGGACAACATAAGATTCGATAATCGATATGTACTCAACTTGTATCCGCGTTACATTTTGCATGTCATTTTGCATGAGGCGACACAGCGGAATATTTCTCTATCGTCGGTAAAATTAATCGCACGTCCTTGTGCCGAACAAGTCAAGTGCGTAATTACAGGTGCACTACGCTAGAACGGTTCTAGTGACCTAGAAAATAAGATGATAAAGATAAATTCCACGAGGATTGAATCATCATCCCCATAAAACGTTATATTTCAAATCGAATTTCGACCGCCGATATCGATTGCGGTCGACGCTATTATCGCATCTTCGCCGCGAGAGTATCGTTCTCACGATACGAGTCATCACACGGTGACTCGAACGTTCGAGGAAAGTGGCGCGGCCGCGGAAAAGAGGTCCCGCGGCTGGAAACTGTTGCGGTGCTCGCGAGAGGGGCAGAATAGCGGGGAAGCGGAGAGAAAGAGCGAGCAAGAAAGGGAGGCAAAGCGCGAGAGAGAGAAAGAGCAAGAGAAGCGCTCGCCGTGGCAGGAACAATCGGGTCGCGTCGCGTCACCGGGTATACGGAGCACCGCTGCGAGCGGCACCACGAGACCAGGCACGGAGCCACGAATTTGGTGATCCAGCACAACCTGACCCACGACCACCGCACGTATACCCTCGCTTTTGACATCGGCGGCGGTGGTGGCGGCGGCGGTGGTAGTAGTAGTGGTGGTAGTGGCGGCGGCGGCGGCTGCGGTGGCGGAGTGTGCGTGCCAGTGGGAAAGGTAAGATGGCGGCGGACGGAGATGCGGTGATTCCGGATCAGGAAAAAGTGCGAATAGTCTCGGATTTTATACTGCACTCGCCGCCGGGCGAGTTCAACGAGGTGTTCAACGATGTGAGGGTCCTGCTGAACAACGACAACCTGTTGAAGGAGGGCGCGTCCGGTGCGTTCGCACAGTACAACAAGGACCAGCTCACGCCTGTTAAGGTACATCGTCGTCGTCGTCATCGCACACGATCGTCGGCGCGGTGCTTCCTCGCGTCAAGCGCGCACGACTCCCTGGGAAATGGTGCCCCGCGGCTTCGCGTGTCCGCGCCGCGACTCGCGTGCGCCCCGAACTTCGCTCACTTTCTTCAAATATATCGATTGTGAGGTCCGCGAGGCGCGACCACGGTGACCTTACGTGCACACACTCTCTCTTTCTCTATCGGCCTTCTTATCAGGCCCTCCGGGATCCGCTCGGATAACGTTGAATCGCCGATCCGAAATCGCCGAACGAGGACGCCCCCTCTCCGCCGTGTCGTTCTCGCCGAGCCGGCGCCGAGTACGTTACTTCGTGCCAGGTTATAGAAATTTGCCTTTCCAAGCTGGTGAAAACGTTGCGCCCGTGGCTGATTACATTGTTTTCCAGCATGTTACCGAGAACTTATTCTTTACGACCTTTTTTTACTTTCAATTGACAGTCAGGGATCTCGTTTATTTTGGAAACTAGCACAAATCAGCTGAGGTTAGGCATTGCCCTGTCTGGGGACAATGTCACAGTGCCTTTTACACTCTCTACGAATAGCTTGTTTCACAGTATTTAAGATTGTAACTGATGATCTATCCAAGTTCTAACTGATCTTAACTGCCCAAGTTCTCTTTGCATCAAATCACAAGTATATGCAAAATTTTTACGCATTAGTATATCAATTAACATGTAGAGACAAGCTTATTGCTTTTGTGTACAGATATTTCAGTGAAAGTATCAGTTATGAAATTGTATCATGAAACTAAAGAGCAATGTCTCAGTTATTTTATTTACAACAAAGCTAATCGGAATATAATAATTGTAAAGTATATAGTAGCTCTCTAAGTCCCTTGTAGTTTTTATATGCTTAAATTTATAAACTGTACAAAGTATTAAAACTGTCTTTCTCTTCATACACAGATAGAGGGGAGCGACCACCCAGCACTCATAACAGAACATAATGATCTGGGTTCTCAAAGGTTTTATGACACGCGGAGTAAGCAAAGTTTTAAATATGATCACTTGAGGAAGGAAGCACAAGATTATGAACCTTACGAACCAGATCCTGTAGCGGAACCTTGGAGGTCAGCCCTTCAAGAGGAAATAACGAATTATACTCAAAGTCATTACAGACATGGCGCTTGCTCAGTTTTCGGCAAATCGCTTGGAGGTAATTCTACACTAAAAAAAATGCCTGAGAATTTATTTACAAGATATAAAGTTTTATTTCTGAAATAAGGGGAATTTATTTCAGAAATAAAATATAGTTATTTAAAATATAGTTTACTTCTGCTAATAAATTTTATATCTCACAGATTTTTTTTCTCGAAGTATTATTCGATTCAGTTGTAATTACTTAAAGGAACTTGAGATATGCAAAATCGAAGGGCACTGAGTAACATCAACTTTTATGCAGGAAACATAACGCTAACGGCATGCATAGAGGATCATCAGTTTCAACCTAAAAACTTTTGGAACGGCCGCTGGCGTTCGGTATGGAGCATAAGTTTTACCCCGAATTCGGATAACGCCGAGTTAAGAGGTAGCCTCAAAGTACAAGTACACTACTACGAGGATGGGAATGTACAGTTGGTCAGTAGCAAAGAGGTTAAGTTGAGCCTGCTGATCTCCAACGAGAAGCAAACGGCGAAGGACTTAATACGGTTTGTCGAGGAGTCAGAGAACGATTATCAAACGGCAATCTCGGAAAACTATCAAACGATGTCCGACACCACCTTTAAGGCGCTGCGAAGGCAACTGCCAGTAATGCGAACAAAAATTGACTGGAACAAAATTGTTTCGTACAGTATTGGCAAAGAGCTTAAAAGTCAATAGAAATAGATTTTTTTATATAATAATATTAAAAGAAATAATTAAAAGGAAAGCGCATTTTGCTGCATGAGTGAAGTCTGGAGGTGTGATGTGCATGGGAGCAAAATGTAACATTATTGAATAATGTCTGATTAGAGACACTCGACTCATGCATGCCACTCAAGGTTCCTCTCGACTCCGTATTGTATGTTGTTATAAGAAGCAATAAAAAAAAACAAGGTTAAAGGGAAGCCAACACTTTCGGCGTTGTCAATTATATCAAAAAGTTTGTTACTTTCAAATCTGGATTATATATATATATATGGTTTGTCTGAGTAATTTTACTTAAATTCTTTCGGTACGTGACAACAACGTTAATGAATGGCTTGAAAACAAAAACTTTCGCATTGTTTCAATTGAGCGCCTCGATTGTGTAAACATTTCGAAAGTAATCGACGATGGAACCTTCGTGTAAATCGCGTTGTTTTTTTTCGCTTCGTTAGCTCTTCGTATCATCTTTCTCAGAAACGATATCCATGATATTCGCATTGTGCAGCATAGTGCAAGGTATAATCTTTAACTTCGAATGGACATGGGACGATAAAAGTAACTGTCGAAGTAAAAGATCTATTCACTATTTATAATGGGGTATTGGGGATCCTTGCTCTTATGTTAAGTGATTAAATTGAAGTTGAATTCAATGTGTTGAATAACTTGAGATTGTGAGACACACACAGATAGCGAAAATAAATTTGATCTATAATCATGTAGACTTGTGAGAAGTAATGAGAGCAGATGGAAGCAGTTTCTCAATTAAAATGCAAAACTTGTAAATTCCTGCAAAACTTTATCAAGAAGATAATGACATCAGTGATAATCGACGATCGTGTTTACTCATTACTTTTTATTTGTGTAACGTATTCCTTATCTTTTTCTAAGAGGTACTTATCGCAAACGAGAGACAAATTAGCGCAAAAAATGTCAGTCACTGAGGTTATTATATTCGACCGATAATTTCATCGATACAACTACATCGATCTGCTCTAGCACAATTTATCTATCACTTGATAGTTCACCCTGACTCGAAGCGAGAAATTGTTTGAATCGTTACGTAATCATGTTCGCGATCCATCTCTCAATCGAGCACTCAGAACATACGACTTGTATACATTTTTACTTTACCAGCGCGATTGTGAAACGAGAGTCTGTATAACGCAAAATATTATACAATACAACAGAAAGTTTTCTTACGGATGCGCCGATGCGATAATAAAAAATAGAGAAATTAAGAGTTTACATCAGGTACAAGAAAAAAAAGGACCTCTTTAGACTGATTCGTTTTGAAGAAAAAGAGAAATCTCCCGTAACGATTTAAGCCTTAGAGCACTTAAAGCAGCGCGAGTGACCACATGTAGCGCGTGTAAAAATTTGAATGACATACACTGATTATCATTGCGTTACTTGTCGATACAATATGCTGGGGCCACGGGTGATGTCAAACGCATAATATATCAAACGTAATACAAAAGACATTAAACGTGTCTATGATTTACCAGTCTGGTAATGAACACCGTTTACGTGTGTGTTCATACCGTTCGCAATACGCAAAATACGAAAGCGAAAAAAAAAGAGAAAGAAAGAGAAAAAGAAACATAATTCTTAACACAGATATCGGTGGGCGAGGCCTACTATTTTTATCCGACTTTATATTTCATAAAAGTGTAAGTCTCTATATACATTTTTGTTAAAATGTATTGTTTTATAATAAGTATGTCTATTATATATATATAGATATATATATAATGAATACGTTGCAAAGTTTAATGATACTGAAAATGAAATAAATGTTAATCATTGCAACACTTGGTTTCTAAATTGAAATACATCATAGAGTAATAGCCGTACGCGCGACGATCACATCTCTCGTGTCAAGCAGAAGCGTTGGGAAGTATCTCTTGGTGCTATCGCTTACTACACACATTACACAGCCAGACGTGTACGCGAGATAAGGAAAACAGAAGAAAACTAACAAAGTACATTGATACATTGTACATTGTAGAATGTAGCCTATAGCCTGCTGGAGCCTTAATCTGTTCACTTTACGTTGAGGGAATAGGGAATTGCGGGACAGGGGATCGGGGATGGGGGAATACTATGTACATATGTTATTTGGATGAATGAATGCGACGATGCGCACCACCATTTGATTCTTAATGCAATAGGATTCGAAACGTCTGTGTAATATTATTCGTACTTTGTAAGTTACATCGTAATTCAAGGCGTCATCTCTTCAGCCACAATATAAGATGGCTTTCTCAAAGAGGCTGGAAGGGAGAGAAAGAGAAAGAAAGAAATGCAGATTCTTGCCATTGATGCTTGTGGACGTTAAACAAACGTACAGATAAAAACAAACAATAAATTGTCTGTTAGCACATGCGAGACGCAATAACGAAGTTACTTCTGTAAATACGGTCGCACATACATTATTACTCGAGTCGTTGTTTGTATTACGTATGTAAATTACAAAATGGAGTGTTGAGGTTTCGAATCTTGTCAAAACTCCACATACACACACACAAAACATAGTTGCCTACGATATTGAACTAGGTATTACCTACAATCGAGTGTATCGTAACATAACAAACGCATGTCCTTATGTAAAAATTTAAACACAGAATACATTTATCAGTTAAATTATGTATTATTGAATGTTATGATTGATTAAATAAAGTGATATGACACTTTATACTTGGGCTCTCAAGTGTGGGAATGATTCTCCCTTGAAAATCTACTGTGGTTTGCATGTGTGTTAATATATGTTAAGCAAACAGTCAAACTGCTGAGCAAATTTTGTATAATTTTTTTCTATACAAATTACATGCACGGTGACGACAGTGTGTTAGCTATCTGCATTTTCCAGGAAAAATTTCAAATGTAATTTCTGTTGGTACAAGATTCATGCATTATTGCTATACTTTTTCTACTCAAATTTCTACAATAAATTGTCTACTACTAAATTGTCTACAATAAACGACAAGCTATCACATATGTGCCCCATCTCTTTATTTTAATCTATTATCACAAATATCACCGAATGACTGGAATATAACTTGTATACATTAAAATTTGCATCCTGTCATGTTCATGTATGACAACTACATTATATCACGGTCCCCATTATCTCTTGATAATACGGTTTGCTTACACAATAACGTGAAGCGATGTATTGTTGCAGTTACTATTATTGCGTGTTTTTTTAATCTTGATCTACGTAAACAAACATATCAGTGCGTGCACGCATCGACGTGCAACTCTATCCTGATTTAAAGTGCCGCGAAGAAACAGATACGTACCTCGATTGGATCGTGTTCGAATACACAATGCGAAATGCGAAAAACAAATATCCAGGCACATGATTACACGACGAAGAAGAATGAAGCTGCGAACGAAATTTGACGTTCATGAGCAGCCATCTATGTTTACACACCGGCCGTTGCTAAATGGCAACCACAAACGCCGACACCGACGCCAAGCACGTGATTCGAGACACCTTTTTGTTTGAACCAGAAACAAGCCTGAGAGCGGCCACCAGCTTGATTTTAGTGGCCAAAGCTAGGCACATTTTCGAAACGCCATCTAACAAAGTGCGGCTTTACTACGTTCGTTAAGGTACCTTTACATGGGAGCATCGAGCGTCGAGCGTTAAAGCGATAGCCAATCAACGTGTCACTTTCCGCAAGAACTACATGTATACTTCTGGGACCTGATACATTGATTGGCTAACGTTTTAACGCTCACGTTGGAACGCTCCCATGTATTGGCACCTTTAGGCACATTTTCGCAGTAGTATTGGCTCCTGCACACAGGACGCGGTAATGCTTGCCGCGCGGCGGAAGTCTACGCGACAACCAATCAATATGTTGTTTTTCCATAAGAGCTAGAAGGTTATTACGGAAAGCAGCATATTAATTGGCTGTCGCGCGAACTTCCGCCGCGCGGCAGCATTACCGCGTCCTGTGTGCAGGAGCCATAAGGGTGCATTCCCACTTAGCGCGTCGCGTCGTCCGAGTTAAGCCAATCAAATCGTCCCATTTTATGCGTAACTTTACGCCGATTAAAATGGACGATTGATTGGCTTAACTCGAACGACGCGCGCGTGACGCGCTAAGTGGGAACTCAGCTTAAATCCCAATCTACAATAGCCCCTTGTCCACAACTTTGCTTTAATCTTTAAGCCATAATAAATTGACCAACCACAGTCGATTATTTTAAAAATAATGAACTGTGGTTGGTCAATTTCTTACGGCTTAAGAATCAAAACAAGGTTGAGGACAAGCCAAGGACTGCGTTCCTTTTAGGCGCTCACGCGCTGTAAGCGTCATTCTATCTTTATCACTCATCAGATGCGGAAAAAGATAGAGTGACGTTTATAAGCGCTTAAAGCACGTGAGAGCCCAAAAGGAACGCACCAATGTGTAGCGTTGCCCATCATGGAGGTAAAAGTAGAACTAATCAGAAAGTTGCCCAAAATATTGAAGGCAGCCATTGGCTTTTTCCAATTTTGGGCAATTTTCTGATTGGTAGCTATTGTGCATCCAGCGGAACGCTACACCTTGTATATTTCCACCATTGCTCCGTACATGTATTCTTCTATGGTCTATATAGTTTGCACCAGAATTGAGCATTTACGCATAAAATGGCTGCGTTCAGCAGAGAAAACTGCTTTGCAACTGTTGTAAAATTCGTGAATCTGATTGAAGTATGCTCTTAATTTTGGTTAAATCCAAGAGCATGTACCAATCAGATTTACGAGTTTTACAACAGTTGCAAAGCAGCTTTCCTGCTGAACGCAACTATTGTTACATTCTACATTTACGTGTAGACACGTAAAATGTATATGAGATGTCATCTATAGCTGCATTCGGCATTGTAAGTCGAAGACGTTGGATTGCTCTTTTACCTCGAAAATGCACAGAAGTGATATACGAGATCTTGTATCTTTTTCATTTCTATGTATTTTCGTATATTATGTATTTTTCTATGTATTTTGAGATGAAAGAACAATTCGACGTCTCCGATTTACTATGCCAAACGTAGTTTATATAGACAATGAATAATTTATGAATGTTGTTTTAATAACATATGACTTACTCAAATTTCATTAAGTTCCTGTTTTTATCTATCTTAATGTAAATTTATGAACGTTCCCAACAAGATGTTTCCAGATAGATGTCTTAATAATATATTATCAACGTTAGAAACATTGCATTAATTAATTTCAACGCATTAAAACGTTATTAATACATCTATCTGAATTATTTCCTAAACAGGTTCTAAACTACTGACTTCTTTTATTAAATTTATTAGCTACAGAGAGTTAAATTTTCCAATCTGTCAAACGTCATCCGAATGCACCCGTTGGAGTGAGAAAGATACTAAAGTGAAATAAAAAGAGAGAGAAAGCATCCAAGTGACGTTTTAGAATGCTTATTATGTGCATACATAGGCTGCGTTCGCTTTGGGCGCTTACGCGCTGTAAGCGTCATTCTATCTTTATCGCATTATATGCGGGAAGAAGATAGAATGACGTTTACAACGAATAACCACCCAAAGCGAACGCAGCCATACTCTCTCCATTTATGTTCAAATAGAACCGCGCTCTGACATCACTGCGTCAACACGTGTTGCAAGTTGAAGACGTCAAGAACACCATCTGTCGTACGTGGTAGTAATATCTTTGTCGATCACCCGTCTGCAATTGCAACCACCCTGCGCTCACCTCCGCCATCTCCGTGAATGACTTCGACGACAACGAGCAGGATATTTCGCTGTGCCGTATTTACTAGTCGCATTCTGTAGAAATTCGAGTCTGGTACTCTCGCAAGAAATGGCTTATAACTTTCCAGGAGTACCAGCGACCGCTATGCCGCCCATGGGTGAGTATCATTGATTTATCTTAAAGCATCATTGCTTCGATATTTATTCTCTTGCGGATTGCATCCAATGTTCCATTTTGAGACACGAGATTTAAAAAGTGTGTACTTCGCAGGCATGGGACCGATAGGCCCACTGGGCATACCTGGACCACAAGGCTTCATGGAGCTTGCTGGTCAAGGGTTCCCACCGCTGCCACCACCCATACCACTGCCTGGAATGAATGACTCGCCTCTGGAGTTCAGTACGAACAAGAATCAGCCTCCAGTGGTACGGGAAACCTCAGACGATAGTAACGACAGGAGAAACGACAAGAATGACAACAGGAGAGATCGAGAGAATAGGGATAACCGAGAAACACGAGACACCAATAGGAGGTATTTAATTTCTATTTATATCATTTTGGAATATATTAAAAGGATGTTGAATTGAGCAAGTGTGAAAAAATATGTATTGTTTGTAAAATAATAAGAAAATTACATAAAATATATATTTTTCATAAAATCTAGAAATTAATAGGCCAATGTACATCTAGTCGTCAATATTGGCAATTAGGGCAATTTAGGGATTTAAAATTGTCTGTGAAAGGATAAACATTTCGTTTAGTAGTGTAAATATGTGATAAAAGAAAGTTTTGTCCTTATAATATGTACTATGTACAAAAACAGTTACCACTTTCTACTGTCAAACTGTCACTTTTCTTGAAAATATGATTCTTAATATTTAAAACCCTTTTTTTGTTCTTGTCTATTACAATTGAAAACAATGTTCTGCAAAAAATTTTCCTAGCTAGAAATAAAACCTTTTATAGATAATTTAAAGTGCTACATCAATATCTATAATTAATCTCATAGGTTCTTATTCTGAATTCTCTTTTATTGATAAGAATACTTTTTTTATTGATAAGAATACTTTTTTTATTGATAAGAATACTTTTTTTTATTGATAAGAATACTTTTTTTATTGATAAGAATACTTCTTTTATTGATAAGAACAAATATAACTTATAAACCTTCTAATTGGCTTATAAATACATTTAGAAACACTTTTATGAATAAAAGAGAATTTAGGACAAGGGTTTTACTGTCCTATCAGGCCCATAAATATTTACGTTTGCAAAATATATTTGTAAATTTAATTATAGCTTGTATGTGTCTTGCGAAAGGTCAAGAAGTGAACGTAGCGACAGACGTGACAGAGATCGGGAACGAAGGGATGAGAGAAACGAACGCGATAGAAGGGACGACCGGAGAATTGAAGACAGAAACAACGGAAATTCCTCGAAAAATAACAACGCTCATTCGAACAATTCGAATAACAACGAAATTCTGTCGTCGACAAACACAAATAACACGCCAAGTATAGGTACACAAATAGAACCTACCACCAGTGTCTGGGGTATGGGAGTGGGTTATCCTATGATGGGTATGGGTCCCATGGGACCAATGGCGCCAATGATGGGCGAGATGGCATTGGGGCCGCACATGAGCCATACTCACGGTTACAATCCGATGGGCATGAGTATGATGTCGCACGACGGAGGAATGATAGGCGCCCAGATATTGAGTGAACAAATCATGACAGACGCGGCGCAGATAATGACCGCGAGCTTGCCACCGCCACCAACAACGCCTCAAGGTACCAAAGAAATTATACATTGTAAGAGCTGTACATTGTTTCCACCGAATCCAAATGCTCCACCACCCACTACGCGAGAAAGGCCACCAGGATGTAGAACAATCTTCGTTGGAGGTATATATATTTGCAAAGCAAAGATAAATGCATATTTATACTTAATAGCAAAAGTAAGATCGAACGTGTAAGAAAAATATTTATTTCTTATTTATTTATACAGCTATATTTAATATAAATTTAATCGCGCGAACTGTTTGTACAGGATTACCTGAAAATATCACAGAAGCTATAATACAGGAGATATTCGAGCGATGCGGCGAGATCACTACTCTACGTCTCTCCAAGAAGAATTTTTGCCACATACGCTTCGTTCTGGAAGCTAGTGTCGATGCAGCGATTTATCTGTCTGGTTACAGGGTGAGAATAGGATCCAGCGGCGACTCTGCAAATACCGGCAGACTGCACGTAGACTTTGCTCAGGTTTGTCACTCGGCTCAAATTGTTTAAAATTACACTACATTTATATCTAATCTAATTATACTTATTTATATGATCATTAACATACAGGGTTGGCAAAAAGTCCGGAAATGGTCAAATATCTCGAAAAGGATCAACTGAAAAATATGTAAGTATCAAAGTTGTAGGGCTTAATAAAATGTATCTAATGATGGCTAAAAATTTGACTTTGGGTGGAGGACGAAGATCATACGAAGGTCAAATTGAATTTTTTAAAATGGACCCCCCACTTTTTATTACATATTCTTGTAGCTTATTTCAAGGGCTTTCCAAAAACCTATAATAAAGTATTTTTTTTATTAGGCATATTTAGAGTTATGAGGCTTGAAAGGATTTTGGTCTTTAACTGTTTTTATTTCGTAAAAACGTATCACTGTCTTCTAAACGGTGGATTTAGAAATAAAATTGCGATCAGGATATGCAGCATAGAATGTGTAGATCAGTTACTTCTTCGTATGATCTAATATGGTCTCCAAATTTTCGATAAAGAAACAGCATTATCTTTTCTTTATCGGTTAACATTTTTAAAAAAGAAATTTGAAATTGTAGTTGGAAAAAGAAAGGGAAAAGACAAAGAGTAAGATGCGAGAGAGCACGACTCGTTTTTAAAATACAAAGATCGAGAAGCGTTATCGTGAAGCGCGGGTATGTGCGAATTTTGACTGAGTACGTGTGATATTACGTCGTGAATGAATAACCGCGTTCGATGCGAGCGAATGAACTAGGCTGGGAGTCTAAAAAACATAAACACAAAAGAAAAACAAGAATAACTTTGTTTTTCGTGTCTCGAGCTAGACGATATGACTGGCTTAGTTGTTCATTCGCTCTCATCGAACACGGTTATTCATTCACGTAATATCACACGTACTCAGTCGAAACTCGCGCATACCCGCGCTTCATGATAACGCTTCTCGATCTTTGTATTTTAAAAAAACGAGTCGCGCTCTCTCGTATTTCACTGTCTTTTCTCTTTCTTTTTCCAATTACAATTTCAAATTTCTTTTTTCGAAAATGTTGACTGAAAAAGAAAGAATAATGCTGTTTCTTTATCGAAAATTTGGAGACCATATTAGATCATACGAAGAAGTAACTGATCTACACATTCAATGCTGCATATCCTGATCGCAATTTTATTTCTAAATCCACCGTTTAGAAGACAGTGATACGTTTTTACGAAATAAAAACAGTTAAAGACCAAAATCCTTTCAAGCCTCATAACTCTAAATATGCCTAATAAAAAAAATACTTTATTATAG